CCCCCTGAATTGTGAGCCGCCCTGAGTCCCCTCAGGGAAAAGGGCGGCATACAAATAAAGTTAAATCCAAATCCAAATAATTGAAAAGAAATTCTGGAAAAGATGAAAAAATGCTTTTTAGACTGTAGCTTCCAGATGCAAGTAAAAAAAACATATATTAATATGGTAATAACAGTCTAATAAATGTAGCATATTACATGGATTATTTTTATAATGCTTTAAAGGCATTTTAGGCCATTTCTGTGTTCAGTTCAAAGAGTTATCTTAATAACTCTTTGAACTGAATCTTAATTTTTACCTTTTATATATTTTAACATGTCTGCAGTGATGAGCTTACGTAAATGATACAAATTAATATCACACATCAATGTATGTGTCTGTGTAATGACTGCTTATTATACAAATGATGTCAATTAATGCAGATGCAAATTAATTTTGGATTTAAAACATTTGGGAATAGTGGTTACCCCACCCATCCAATTAGTTCATTGAATAAAGGTTTGATTGTATTATAAAAAATAATAATAGTATCGTAGTAATTTATTTCACCAACATTTCACAGATAGAAAATAGTTCTTGGAATAGTTTGGTTGGTTTGCTCCTAAGGTGATTTTTTTTAAAAAAAATTATTTATCCTATATAGTGCTTGGAAAACCAAGAGACTTGAAAGTTTCAGATGCTACAACATCCTCATTGAAGTTATCTTGGAATTTAGCACCTGGGAAAGTGCAGCAGTATCTTGTCACATACACTTCAGTGATTGGAGGAGGTCAACCTAAAGAGATCACCGTAAGGGGAGACACCACCAGTACAGTTCTCCCTAACTTGGAACCAGGAACAAAATATGATTTGTCTGTAACTGCTCTTTATGCATCTGGAGCAGGAGAGGCTCTTTCTAAACAAGGAGAAACACTTGAAGGTAAGAACACCTGGATTTATTATGGTTGGAATGGAATACCACATTAATCTGAAAGGAAGAACAGAGACAGGAAATAGGACATTTTCTGTAAAGAAGAAGAATAGACCACCTTCAGAAAGAAACCCCAGGGTTGCCAATTCCAACTAAAATTAATATTGAAAATTTAGCCTTCTCCAGGAATTTCATGCATGTTTCACATTTGTATAAGCATATGTGTGTATTTCAACATATACTTGAAATACTAGGAATAAAGGACATGCTCAATACAACAAAAACGGTGGGCTTGTGAAACATGGTTTATAATTGAGTGAATTAAGTGAATCGGGTCTCTGTGGTTTACTGAAGAAAGGTTGCTTAAACGTTTTGCTTAGCCCAAATGTGTGAATTTAGCCAGCTGTTGCTTGGTGTTTCTCTTTTGCCCTGAACCAAATAGAGGATTGCAACAAGCTTCTTTTCTGAACAGTTTCAGCATCTCAAAGAGGATTTCAATTTTTAGAAAGCATCAAGGATTGCTTATATAGCAGCTATTCTCTGTGAGTAGGTTTGACTATAGAGAACTTCTAGAGTATTCATTTGGTCCACAATGAACATTTGGCAAAGAGGATCTGGCTCCTATTCATATTATTTACTCTTCCTCCCCTCTGACCATCACCAATTCATCCAGCTCCCTCTGTCCCTGCTTAATACAACTATGTAATTTGAATGACAGAACATAGAAAGACACAACATCCATAAGTATCAAATTCTAAGTATATGGTTAAAGTCTATTATCTATCATAGCGTTATTATTTATGACTTCCATGTCTGAACAGGGTTACATTATGATAGCATCTGTAATCAGAATGTCTCATTACTTGGGCATTCATCCTGTCTTTATCAGTGACAGAAAAGATTAATTGTGTAATTACTATGCATGCTTTTAAATAATGTTCATCCTGTGGAATGTGTTTTTTCCTCAGCTAGACAAGAAAGCTTTGCAAGTAGTTTCAAGGGCTCTAGAGAAGGTTTATGGTCGTGAACTGTTTTATGAGAAAAAATGATCGGAACTTCTGAATTGGGTGCAAACAAACATGATAAGTGAATTGCAGGAGAAATCAAGAGAGCATTTTGCTCATGATCTCAGCACAAAAATGGAGCAAATTTTAGCTTAAATGTTCTTAAGAACAAGCAGTTTTTGTTGGGATGAAAGAATCAAGTTTATTGTGTGTGACAGAGCAAAATCATAAAATATATTTGGGGAAAAAATAAGCAAAAAAAGCAAAAAAGAATAGTTGCTTTGTTGCAAAGAGCCAATTTAGAACAGGATCCAATTTGGGTCGGTCACCGGAACCAGAAGTTTAGTCTTCCAAGCTTTTAAACTCATGGACTGGAGTCCATTTTCAGGGAACATCTCTCTAGCAGAATGTTTAGAACAATCTTTTAATAGCGGGTTACTCACTGAGTTGGACTGGTAAAATCAGTAGAACAAATTATCCCACCAGCCAGATTTTAGGATCACATTAAATAAAATAGCACTTTTATTATGAAACCTTGTTGGTCCAATATGTTTGGGTGATATATCACACAATGTGTGGCATTTCCCAGATGTCATTATACCATAAATAATCTTTATTGTTATCAAATTTATTAACCTCTCTGGCTTAACCTAGACAGATATGCATATCT